CCAATGAGGCCCAAAATATAATAGGTTAGCCATCTACTTTTTTAGAAATCTTCATTTTTTTGTAACAGTGTTTTAATTCACCACTTTAAAAACTCCAGCTGGTGGGTAGTACATCTTTAATCCTTCCACCAACAAATGAGTTCCTGGAGAATACACAAAAAACCCCAACTTTTAAAGTCATCATATTATAACACACAAAAACTACACACATGCAATAAATACACTTTAATTATGACCAATCTAACAAGAGATGAATTAAATTGGGCCATTTTTATAAATTTTAAAGAACTACTTTCTAGACTACAATGGGTTCGGTGTAATTACATATCGGGTTGAGACCATAACGGCGAGCAGCATTCAAGTAACTATGACGGAAATACGGCGTATAAACATCGTCGCTAATCGTGGTTGTCGCCCTTTCTAAGAAACGGACAGTTGTCAATGTAAACAAATAAATGTCATTCAGTTTAACCATCAAATTAACTTATGCTGCCCTCACACATAAACCACGACCTTACTGCGACCTGAAAACTAGTAAAATAGCATTTTTCTTTCGAAAATCGTTGGTTTTCTTTCAAATTTCAAAATTTCTCTCGCAGAAAATTTCTCTCGCAGAAGGTCCGGGGCTCTGCAGTCTTGTGTTCAGTACGTTTTCTCTATGTCCTCAATACGACCCTTCTACGTCCATGGCGTTTCCACTGCGACTGTATTGCGACCCCAAGGCGACCCCACGGCGATCATCGGCGACCCAGCTGCGACTGTGCTATGTTCTCTGCGTCCTTACGGCGACTCTACGACGACTATTGCGTTTGTCCGGCGACTGTCCTGCGACTGTACGACGACCCTACTACGTTCTTGCGACCTAACTAGGACTCAGCAAGAACGCAGAGTTTCTGCGACTGTTTTGTGCATGTTCAAAATAGTCGCCGACGGTCTGCGACCTTGTGCGTCCTTGGGTTCCTCGATACGACCTCGCTGCGTCCCTGCTGCGTCCATGGCGACTGTGCTGCGTCCTGGGTCGTAGCAAGGTCGCAGTAAGGACGCAGTAAGGTCGCGAGGTATGTGTGAGGGCAGTATTACAAAACTAGATAACACAAAATGAATATGAGAAAATGTTGTTTTATTGATGTTGATATTGATAAATGCTATTTATATTTCTTTGAGAGAATAATGTTTAGTGCCTGATATTCTTTTATAAACTTATGAGTTTGAAAAAAAAATGATTCTGATGTCACTGATCTTTTGTTTCTACCGTCAATCTGAAATCATTCTAAGAATTTCTGAAAGTCATGTTTTGTCGTGGGAATAGTAATTTAATGTTGTTTTTTTCTTGAGTTAAAAAATCTCCAATGATAAGCTTTTTAAATCAATTATAATTCAAATTTTCGAACGGTTCAGAGCATTTGAATTTGAAAAGAAGTTGGCCCCGAAAAATAAAACGCAAACGTAAAACATGTAGAATTGGATAAATACCGTCCAAGCACAAGGATTTAACGTATGTGTTTTGTATTAATTATACATCATGAATCTTTTTTATAAAAAGTATGCTATAATAGCGTCAACGCACGTTTATTTCGTGTTATAAAGTCTGCAGAGTCCCTCGGAACTGTTGGAGCCAACAGTTCCTCAGGACTCTGCAGTCGTTATAACACTAAAAAAAAAAAAAAAAAAAAAACGTGCGTTAACCCTATATATTAATACTACTCTCTAAAAATATTTCTCCTTATGCTTATATTCAATTTTACTCTCTTGTGAAAATTTTCATCGCATGTCTTTTTTAAAATTAAATCAAATTCAAAATGATGATACATTTTCAGTATTTTCAATAGGTACATATATACATTTCAGAACTGTACATGTAATGCAAACGCTGAAATGGTATGCTATACAATATCATGCGCTATTCCACGATGTCTGTACGGTGAACCGGAAACACTGCCAGGGCATTGCTGTCCATCTTGTCCAGGTAAGTTTTACTAATATAAATGTATCACTGAAAAATAGTAATGTACCAGAAGATGAGAAATAGTTATTTATATTCAGAGTACAACTTGTAATGTATCAGGTGATAAGAAATAGTAATGTTTCAGATAATCATAAATAGTAATGAATCAATGAGGAAAATAGTAATATCTCACTTGATCGGAAAAGGTAATGAATCATCATGTAACGATAAAAAGTAATGGATCAAGTTATTTATCAGGTGATGAGAAATAGTTAGGATTCAGGTGTAGAGAAAACGTATTGTGCCAAGTGATGAAAAATGATGTGTAAGGTTATAAGAAAAAGTAAGATGTTAAGTGATTACAAAAGAAATTTATCAGTTGATGAGAAATAGTCATAAACTAAGAGGTGAGAAAAAGTAATGTGTCAAGTCATGAGAAATGATAATGTGTTTTCTTTCATGCAATCCAGTATTTTACTGTAATATATCAGATGATTATTAAGAGGATATTTGTTTAGTTCAGTGTAAGAGGTATATTTCTTGAGTGACGCAGCCACGAGTGAAGTTTGAAATTTTGGTGTTCACAAGGTGAAATATATTTCGATCTTACACTAAACATAACGAATTTTCTTTTATTATATGCAAAGAAACGTTTTAAAAAGACACTTAACCTAATACCGAATGAAAAGCGCGCCAAATAACAATACAACGTGACGTCATTTACGACGTCACGTCATTAAGTTTGTTCCCATTACTGTGCACGCTGTTATTGCACTGAAACAATGTAAGGGGCTTAAATTCAAAACAGTGAAATTATCAAATTGATCATTTCACTCTTTAAAACAGTGAACTTTTCAGTTTAATATCACTAATATATTTCTATAAACCTCCGAAAAGCATGTAATAAATTCTGATAAACTACTTGTGAAATTTATAAAATATTCTTTTCACTGTAGCCGGACTATATCTGAAAGCAGATGAAAAGAATATCATAATTAAATGGAATAACATGCAAAAATGAATGTCGTCATACGTAAATTTTGCTTCTTAAGGAAAAGAAAGTCGATGTCACCATAAACCATGTTAAAAAAGTACAGAAATTGAACAGAACTATATTCTAAAATTGATGATATGACGACATGATGTGATGACGTCATAAAGGAAAATGCACGACGTTACGCGGCAAAATCAGTAAAAATAATACTTTAGAAGCATGAAATAAAAAGAATTATAATTTTGTTTTACATATCAGATTGCAATAAATTTCATTCGTATACACCAGCTATTCTTTTTTCCACTTTTGCCTACAACACTCGTGAAATTGTTGCACTCAATGATATAAATTTCAATCTTACATGCAAAACAAATATCCTTTATAGGTTATGACGAAAAGCAAGGTATCAAGTGATACGAAAAAGTAATTTATCAGCTGCTGAGAAATAGTCATTAATCAAATGTTAAGAAAACGTAATGTGTCAGTGTCTGGTGATAAGAAATAGTCGTTAATCAAATGATGAGAAATAGTTATGAGTCAATGATGAGACATTGTACTGAATCAAATGATGAAATATAGTAATGTGCCAGGTGATGAGAAATATTCATGAATAGTCGTCATACATCAAATGATGAAAAATAGTAATGTGTTAGGTAATGATACACTGTACAATATCAAATGGTGAGAAATAGTAATGTATCGGGTGATGAGACATTGTAATGAATCAAATGATGAGAAATAGTAATGTGTCGGGTGATGAGACATTGTAATGAATCAAATGATGGGAAATAGTAATGTGTCAGGTGATGAGAAAAAGTGTGTCTCGTAGGGAAAAAGGATGTATCAGAGTCTGACGATGAGCAGTTGTTATGATTCAGTCACTCGATGAGAAATTATCAGAAAAAATAGTAATTTATCAGAGATAAAAGTAATATCAAGAAAAAAGTACCTAGTATCCTTTTTTATTGTCGTGTGCTAATGTCTGCTAACAACATAGATAAATAACTAAATCATGAAATTATGCATTATACTTTCACGATTGTAAATTGTTGTCTTTAGATGACAGTTTATCGATGACAGACAAACCGGATTTACCAACAATCAGTAACTGTCCGACAAATGTTTTGAGTGTTAATGTCGCAGTCGCCAGCGAATCTGCAATTCTGACAAAAAGTATAACTACAATAAATGCGTATGATTCCGACGGAAATAAACTGAAGGTAGATTTTTCATATTATAGTATATGGTAATAGTGGCACAGCAAATATCATGAAATGTTTGATGATAGGAAACTTTTTCAAAGAAATTAAATTTTACGAATAAGCTTTTTGTAATATATTTATTCGTAAATACTTAATTCATTTATATTCAAAATATATCTAATGATAGATAATCCTTCCATTTAATGTCTATTTATAGCAAAAAAACCAATAAAAAAAACAACAACCCTGAAAATTACTATAACAAAACAACAACAACACCATTCAATAAAAATTGACACATTTAAAAGTATTTTAGTCTATATGTTGTATGTATAGCATTCTTTTGTTCCGATTTACTGTCACTATAGGCTCACGTTTAAACTCTTTCTACGACTCGTTAAAATGTGTGTATATATATAATGATAATGCATTTTCTGTATATACTAGTATATATACATAATTTAACAGAGATGGGCGTTTTGCTACGTCATATGGTGACATAAATATTGTATTAAACCTTTTCAGGTGAAGTATCAACCAAAGAAAGTGTACCATTGTCAGTGTTATGACCCTAAGCCAATCTATGTCCTAGCTTATACCGAGAATGACCTAGGCGGCATAGCATCCTGCTCTTTCAATATTACTGTTAAAGGTCAGTGTTATGAATCTAAAGGACGATAACGATGAGTTAGTGCCACAATCAAACTCATCGCAGCGGTTACTTCCCTTTATCAGAAGAATGAAGGGGAAATCACATAGTGAAGAGTGTGCAACCATAATTTTGAGTTACTTCTCCCTTGTAACCATAGTGTATAGTTAGTTCCATTGTCACGGACTTATTTGCAATAACGTTTGCGTAAAATCAGACTAAAGTAATCATAGTCTAGAATAACTTTCCCCGACCTAACAATAAAGCGAACGTAGAAAAGAGACCAGTCTTATGCCACCATTCCAGCTTGTTCACCGGGGTAGTGTTGGCAGACCTTAAACTAAGATTGTTACCTGCTTCATTTAATGTCCATTAACTAAGTAATATACAGTAATTCTTAATTAAAGGACTAGGAAAAGATTAACATGTTAATCATGAAACTCAATGAGGTTTATAGTAACATACAATTTTTTACATTTTTGTTTTCCCTGGAAATCAATTATACTATTATACAAAGGGAAAATCATTTAAAACAATACCTTATTTTTCCTTAATTTTCATTAAGCTTACTTGGGTTCGAGTCATTATGCAAAATTTCAACTACGAATACATAGCGGACTAGAAATGTGTCATCATGCCACGGATGCCCCCGCATGCAGCCAAAATTTTAAATGTTATAATATTTAGTTCCAAATTTGTTTGTACAAATTATTTTTTTCATTCTAAGTTCAAAGCCCTTAAAACTTTTCAATGTTAACACAAACCATTTTTATACCATGTTCAAGGCACTGAAATTAGTCTTAACCTTTTGAAAATAGCATATTGCATATTTGTAGCCAAAATAATGGCTATATACATTTCCACAAAAGTATGAGTGCTGAAACTGAAAGTTCAAAATTTTCCCAACATTCAGTTCAAAATCATTGAACCACGACCAAATTCAAACTTAAACTGCTTATTCCTAAGATGTATCTTTATTATTTTCAAAGTGAAAGGGACATAACTCTGCCAAAAAATCATTGAACCATGACCAAATTCCAACTTGACCTGCACATTCCTTTGACATATCCATTTGTCAATTTTGAGTTGAATATGTAACACTGTAAGTCTGTTGGGTTGATAATGAACAGAAACTGTAAATTTCATATCATTTTCAAAGTGAAAGGGGCATTACTCTGCCAAAAAATCATTGAACCATGACCAAATTCGAACTTGGCCTGAATTTTATCATGACATATCCATATGTCAAGTTTGAGTTGAATGTGTTGTACCATTGGGGAGATAATGAATGGAAACTGAAAATTTCATATTATTTTCAAAGTGAAAGGGGCATAACTCTCCCAAAAATCATTGAACCATGACCAAATTTGAACTTGACCTGCTCATTCCTTTGACGTATCCATATGTCAAGTTTGAGTTGCATGTGTTGTACCATTGGGGAGTAAATGAACGGAAACTGAAAACTTCATATAATTTTTAAAGTAAAAGGACCATAACTCTGCCAAAAATCATGGAACCATGACCAAATTTGAACTTGACCTGTATTTTATCATGACATATCCATATGTCAAGTTTGAGTTGAATGTGTTGTACCGTAGTGGAGAAAATGAATGGAAACTGAAAATTTCTTATTATTTTCAAAGTAAAAGGGGCATAACTCTGCAAAAAATCATTGAACCATGACCAATTACAAACATGACCTGTATTTTCTAATGACATATCTATATGTCAAATTTGAGTTCAAAATGTGCAACGGTTATTAAGATAATGAACGGAAACTGATGATGATTGAAGGATTGAATGACGGATTTGACGGAACAGGGTAACACTATATGCCCCTGCCATTATATGGCGGAGGCATAATTATGTTTCCCCCTTCTTCTCTTAACCTACGCCATTTTTCTAAACAATAGATTTTTTATAGAATTATTTGTCCCTTTATCCAAACTGAAACATTCTAACAGAAAAATAATTAACGGGATTGCATGTAATTATATACATGTATTGTGAAATCCCGAAATAGCGGTACAAGCTTAAAAAAATAATAATCGTTAGCATCATATTTTAGATCCATACCCGCCGCGAGTTCATAACTGTTCAAAGGATATCTATGTCACAGAAAAAACCACAGTTCGGTGGAATGAACCTTCATTTGAAGATAACGTTGGTATTGGAAAAATTTCTAGACCAGATATAGACCTGTCAGTTTATAAATTCACTTTTGGAGCTCATCATATGACTTACCAAGTTTGGGACTTTGACGGCAACACTGCGTCATGTGAATTCAGCATCTACGTGGAGAGAGGTAAAAAATTAGTTTACTAAACTTGGAATAAATGACAATGGAAATGAAAAATTGCAGAATCAGTATGATTACCTCTATGATTATCACTCTGCTAAATCACATATCATTTTATAGAATAACCAATACAACAGACGGTAAAATTTTATTTTCATCCATTTCATATTTTCTTCCATTACTTTTTAAATATTTCATTATTCTAAAATCAGATAAAGTGTAGAACCGTATCACTCTAGTAAGAATCACATACATAGAATGATATAGGGGTAAAAATCAGGATATTTATCGGTAAATGAAACCAAGTTTTTTACCAATCATATAATCACGCGGTTTCACGTTACAAAAGAAAAAAATATGTATCTTGAGCAATGTTTCATACAAAGCTATGATCTTTTCAGGCCTGCCGAAGATGAACAATTGCCCAGCTGAGGCCGTACGTTTGAACACGTCAGTTTACACTAATGTCGCCGTCGTCAAACAAAGAGCAGTAGGACTAGATGCTTATGACTTTGACAACAACAAGTTACTTGTAGCGTAGTGATTCTTAATTTGAATATTATTATACCCTGCAGCGTTAACTATAATAGTTAATGTAAAAAGAAATAACTTTTTAATTACAAAGAAATATAACATCCTAATTGTTGGAACATATTCTATAATTTAGAAGAAAAATGGAAAAACAAATATTTTTTTTATCTATATGATGCACAAATATGGCGCCTTCCTTTTAAAAAATAGTACAGGATTCATTATTATGAATTTAAGACTTGATATTATTGGAATATTTTGTCAATTTAAAGAATAACCTATTTAGATTGTCAAGCGATGACAGAAATTATAACTGCTCTGCCATTTGTTTTATCTTGCACAGACGTAGACTTTACATGTTTTTCATCTGCATCTCAGGTGACGTATCAACCTCAGACGATAGAACATTGTAAATGTTCGGACGCTCATAAAGTTACCTTTAATGTTTCTGCAATGGCTGAAGATGACTATGGGCAGGTTGTGAGTTGTAATTTTACGGTAACTGTACGAGGTAGGTCAACAATTATCTAAGTGTCTTCGTAACTCGTAACCCACACAGTAAATTATGTTCAAAATTTGCTTACAGATGTCGTTTAAAGACATTTTCTAAAATTTTGTGAAAATTTAATCCTGACATACAATTTTCTAAATTTTTTGCAAGATAAGTAAAAATAAATGGCGAATTCAAAAATAAGAAGAAAAATAAATGTTGACTTGTTGGATTTCTTGTAAAATGGCAGTTTCCATAGCAACCGTATATGTCAAAACTGTCAAAATAGCCAACTTGTGATATAAAAAATAGAACATGTATAAGATAGCTTAACCCTTTCCCCCATGAGCATATTGTGAGAAATGGCCATTTTTACTGAAAAGGCTCCTCTTACAAGTTCAAACTGCTATGAAACTATGAAAAATCCTTCAATACTATTCAAACTTGGCACAAATGTTGACTGGACCATTGCCTTTGTGACGACATGCTCAGTCTTAAATTTCCTGTTACCATGGCAACGAGGGGACATCTCAAAATTCCCAAAAATCACTATTTTGCCTCGATTTTTTACATCAAAATTTATTTCAAAGTGCTGCAACTTCTCAAGGGATTGATATAGAGTCAAAGGCTTTTCAGCGTTGGTTACACGTTATATTATGATCGACCTGGGGTCATTTTTAGCCTCTCACAAGTCCAATATTTTCTTGGCGAAAAAATGCTCAATTTTTTGACCAACATTTCTCAAACGAAAGCATGTGTTTGGGGCCCAAATAGGACATTTTTTCACTATTTGAGGCCTAAAAAGGGGGCGGGGTACATATGATTTACGAATTTTTTGTATGTTGTGAAAAATTCAATGACAAATTCAAAAATAAAAAGAAAAATATATTTTGACGTGTTAGATTTCTTGCAAAATGGCAGTTTCCATATAACCGAATATATCAAAACTGTCCAAATAACCAAACTGTGTTATAGAACAATGTATACACACACAATAATCATGGTTTTATACAAAACTTACTTTATCTAAGGGTTCTGTGTGAAACAAACGATAATCTGAACACATTTCTTTAAAAATGGGTTTTTCATGATTCCTAACAAAACAAAAAATGAGAAAAATAAACATGAATTCTATCATTAAAGATATCGGAAAATTCTTTCATCGATTTTTCTACATTTTTGATATACAATAAAAAATTGTATGGTGAATTCAAAAATAGAAATAAAATATATGTTGACGCGTTAGTTTTGTTTGTAAACGGTCAGTTTCCAATGTTACGCATATGTCAACTGTCAAAATAACCACGCTTTCTTAAGTAATATCAGTGTTATACTAAATGCATTGTTATATATATACAACAAAAATATGTTTAAATATTTTTATTTCTTTTGATGTTAAATAAAGTAAATGTTGCTGAATATATTTTTGAAACAATTTATATAAAGCCATATTATTTTTTTTCGCTCGGCTAACAGACGATAACAGTAAGCTAGTATTCAGAAATTAAATAAATAAATTGGGACCTTTCTTAGATATTATTTTTGTTTTTTATTTAACATTTTAAAAATATATCATTTTAAACTTCTTTGCCCACTTGTCTGCCAGTAATCAAGACTAGTGGCGACGCACTTTCGTCACTACCACAAGTGTGTAGGGTAACGCGCGCGGAATCATCATCAATGTTGTCGTACGAAAGCTAGGAGAAATCCTTTATCTCATGTTATCTAAGCGACCCTCTTATTCTTTTGAAACGATCTACTCCTGAGCATTTAGAAATATTCATTCTGTATCAATTACTCATTATTTGTTTGTAGCCGAAATTAAAACAGTTATCCGAGGGCTATTCAAGCTATTCAACTACCTTCGTTTTTGAAGAGTAATTATCCGTGATTATCTTTCTTTGAAGCGCATTACGGTGCGCACAAAAAAAACTACCGAACACTTTTTAAGGCATATTACTGACATACATGGTCAGTTTTCAAATCCTTAAAGCGCCCTTTTAGATGGCCATACTTTAATCGGATTTGTTTATAATTTTCAACGTTTTGTATTTACTGCGGGTTGTAATGATTTTGCTGCAGAATATCGGTGCCTTTGTAAGGTATTAGCTACTAAAGATATTGGCCCGGCATCTCATTTAATGTATTTATACCATAGGCAGAGAAACAATTATGTACAAATTTGTGTCCGATTATTATTGTTATTATTATCATCAAGATAATTACATTTGTGTTGTCAAAAGAATAAATCAACTATCAAACACGTTTAGACTTAACTCCCTTTATAACGACAGAACTAAGACAAATTTGATTAAATAAATAAAAATTTTAAATGATGTTACTTTTACAAATAGATAAACATGTAATACAATAGAGAAAAAATGTATATATGTAAATAATGATAAGAAGTATTTAGTATGGCTGTATATGTTTGTTGATATGGGTTCAAACAATACTGATAACTATTCTACAATTACAGAATTGATGTATAAAACATATATGCTTGAATATTTCATAACTTTGTAGTAGAAATCAAAATGCCAAAATGGGTTTAATATATAATCAGTAAATACTGTTTTGATTTAACATCTACTAACATTGTGTTGTTGTTGCTTTCTGTTCTTTTATATTTCTTTTTTAGATATTATCACGCCGAGAATCTTGTTTTGTCCTAGCGATATCTATGTCTTAGAAGGAGATGTGGTCACGTGGAAAGATGCAATGTTTGTAGATAATGTAGGGATTGCACAGACATTTGTCAATATGGAGAATGGGACATCATACCCTGTGGGAAGGCACACTGTAGTGTACGTTGTGAAGGATTTTGACGGGAATGAAGCATATTGCAGATTTGAAATCATTGTAGACAAGGGTACAAACATTTCTTCCTTTAAAGGGCCATTATGTCACAGTGATATTTATTTCTATTTTTCAAAAGTTCCTTATTCTTTTTTTTATATATTTTCCCAAAGTTACTCCTTTGCCAATTATCTGAAAGATATCTTTCTTCTGTAGCTGACAGTTACAGTGATTTAGTATTTTGTATGGAAGTTAAAATTCTTCTTTGTTTACTAATTATTATTTCATATCTAGCATTACTTTCTTCAGGTTACAAGCACCTTACAAGTTCTAAAACCATTCTTTAAACATAATAGCATTCATATTTGCCCTTTCTAAAGAAGTAAATTTTATTCGTTTCTGAGACATAATGTGCCTTTAAATACTAATCAATGTTTAAATATTAAATTTGTTTGCTTTATTTTGAATTACTTTCTATAGACCTTTATAAAAAACGATTTTTCTATATCAACCGATGTTGCATTTCGCACATGCGCATTCTGCGTAGGGCAAAAGCGCAATAACGATAGACTACATTTAGCGTATTTGAAGGCTTTATAAGACGTGATTATGTCACCTAGAAAACAGAATTTCTGTGAGGAATTAAAACGGTAAGTACTTCAAACGTGAATTGATATTTATAACAGATAAACAAAGCTAGTGGGACTAATAATTCAATGACCAAAAGTCCTGTTCAAGGTATCATACAATGACTTTTTCATTTTCATCAGTAATTTAAATTGAAGCAACAGGATGTTAAAGATACAGTCAATTTAATTACTTATTTATTACATAATATTACACAATCGGAATTCCTTTAAAAGTGGATTGTCAAGGCGGTAAGTGTCAAACGGATTGACACGTGATCGAGTGACCGCTTAATTGTTATATGCCAGCTATAGTTTTCAGTATCATTCAACCGGGATGTTTTAGTACCATGACATAGTTAATCACATAGAATCATGAAATTATCGTAATTTAAGTTACTTTTTAAGTTGATACCATCAATATTATTAATTTTGTGAAGTGACAATTAAACAGTGTACGTACGTGACGTGCATTTTAATGTTTTACGAGAAACTGGATAAAATGTGTGTAATTTCATGAGTCATCTTACCCTTTCAAGAGTTTGCAACATTATTTAAATATATCTATGTGTGTTAAAAAGTTTCTACTTGGCATCACAGTCAAGTCGGATAAAGGATAATATTAGCTTAGCTTTTAACTAAAAATGTATTAATTATCACGTGTTCCGACTTATTCTAAGCTTTATTTTGGATGTTTCTTTAGTTTTATCACAACAATTTCAACAACAATTAAATTGGCTTCTTTATTTTATAATATATATTTCGACATTTGTTTACAACAATTATAGTAGTATGTGCGTCCCTTTACCCCCAAACACTGCGAATATAAGCCCACCATCTCGCATATGAGTCACTCCCGATGGCCATAGTTGGCGGCGGCAGCCATCTTTGACGAATGAAATCATATCTCCTACGGAGCTGGAACTTAGAGCTTGAGGTCAGGGAGACGGGGATAAAATAAGAACGAGTGATTCTACTTAAAATCGATCATAAGTGTTCGATAGAACGTCCAAAAACATTTCGTTTGACACCCAACTACGTTACCGCCACTGTAAGGAAGATATGTTATACACGAATGATTTTTCTTCTAAATATTTTATGTATTCACCGATGTTTATTCCCATAAGCCACTGATCTATTTTAAGTTTACCATCAGCCCCATGACGCATCGTTTTATAAATAGAATGACACCATTATTTTATTTATAATCTCCCGGAATTATACCCGGGTCAGCTCCTCGACGACAAGTGTGATAGGTAAATATTATAATAAATCCATTTTATTCAACGATTGATGCAAAAATAACTATTTAAATCCAACTGCTTTAAAAAGTGAACATATAAACCTAAATTATTTTTTTTTATAGACGATGCGTTAAGAAAATACCCTTTATTGCACGGCGGCCATATCATTAATAAGGCTAGTCCTGATAAGCATCACCATTTGAGAAACCATAGTTGTGTTACGTATCAAAATGGCTAAATAGGCTTACCAAGATGTTTTTCCATTCATATACGATCAAAGAATGACTAATTCGGGTGCAGACCTGTATCCATGAAACCTCTATTGTATGCTGATTGGTAAACTGTGACGCATTTTCAGCCTTTGTACGACACACTCCAGCGAACAATATCCCGTATCGAATTTGTACACGGTATTCGGACTACTTAAACGATGCCCAATATATTAACCCCGACAAAAGGAATTTATTGGTCTTTGACGATGTGATGACGGAAGCTAAATGCGACCAGAGAATTGCGGATCTCTTCACCAAGGGCAGTCATCACAGAAACATATCTATCGTATACTTGACGCAAAATTTATTCCCGCAAGGAAAGGCCTGCAGAGATATCTCATTTAATACGCAGTATCTCGTATTATTTAATAATCCTATAGATAGACAGCAAGTGGCGACGTTGGCGAGAAGAATTTATCCCTCCTCCAATGCCATTTTTATAAAACGCTTCCAAAACGCAACGTCTAGACCGCACGGCTATTTGGTGGTAGATTTAAAATCGTGTACCCCGGAACAGAACCGTTTGCGCGAAAATGTATTCGAGAAAGAAAGCCCGGCTGCTAAAAAAAGAAATTTACCGGACGAAGAAGCGTATTTTGGTGAAGGTAACTCGACCGTCACGGCTATGAATGATATTAATGATGATAATGATAATAATTTTGATGATGATGATGATGATGATGATGATGATAATAATAATAATGATGAGGTGAATGATAAATATCGTGTAGAGGGTGGTGTTAAAAGACTATCTTTATTTATAGGGCCTCCTGGTAAGCGTGTAAAAGAAGAGCTTAACAAAGAACGTGTACATCACGATATATAGGACAGAAGATTTTAGAAGCCTTTAAGACAGTCTCATACAGAACAATTTAAAAATAGATTAAACAGTTACCTAGATCAAGATTACTCATTTTCCAAAGAAAGAAAATCCTGGGTGCAAAAATTTCGAAAAAATGCCAAAATTTAAGAAAGAAGTTTAACCCCCAAAATTTTGTACAGTTTTTATTTTACTTTAAATCATTACCCAAAAAGACCCCCACGCCCGCCCAAAAAATTCTCCAATCAGCCCAGAAAATTAAAAAATTACGCTCCCCTTTGCAGCTTACTGGGAAAACACCCCCCCGTTTCTTCAGAAGTTGGGGGCCCATAGTGGGAACCCTTCGACCGATGCGCAAGAGTAACGTAACAACCCCATCATAAAAAGGCCCTTTTCATTATTTGGGAGCGGGAAATTTGCCTAGACAAAAATAAAAAACTAAAAGCAAAAACAATTTAAGCGAAAGAAAAACTAAAAGAACGGAAAAAAAGTTTCCAAAATTTGCAAAGTCCGTAATCAGTTATGGTGAGTCCCGTAGCGCAAGCGATAGAAATTGCCAAATCGGAGGTAAAACGTTTACGACACACCGATAAAGAATCACTTGTGCGTAAGAAACCCAGAACAGATATTGACTGGAATCAGATAACTTACTAAAATGAACAATTATTAGCTAGAAAATTTTTTGCGAGGATAGCCCGGAAAGCTACGGCGTTAGATTTGAAAAGATACTTAACCGGAATAACGGACAACTACAAAGGTTTTCGTCTAACGTTTGCGGTCTATACTGAGCGTATTACGTCATAAAACGATCAGGGCAAAACATTAAAGAGTATTTTTAAACAATTCGATATCCACCAAAGGAAGCGCAATGAACGCTTAATAGTGTCTAAAATGAAGAAACTGATAAGTAAAAAAGACGCGATGTTACAAAACAAGTGATTATTATTGAACCGAACAATACTTTGTATAAAATAGAAATAAAATTTGACATATATATCGTCTTTTGTTTTTTTTTATTTATGTGGCCCCTTTCTTATATTTTTACCTCTTACTTAACTAATTTAAACAATACATCCCAAATATTTTAAAGGAATGAGTTTACTGTTACAAACGCTTCTTCTATTTCGTCAATTGCGAGCAAGTAATGTGAGGCATACTTATCCCCGAAATCATCTAAATCCATACTGATATTTTAAAATTCTAAAGTTACAATGTTACTCGTTAAGCTTTTAAAGTCGGAATGATCAAAATAATCTAAATGCGTTGTTATATACTCTCCACAGAGCCGATGCGTTCCTATTTTTAGAAAAGACGTCATGTTTAAACAATTTCAGTTTCCTTTATGTTAAATCTAAGACTTAACTATATATTTATTAATTTGTAAATGAAATATTAATATTTCGGTTATTCGTAACTTGAATCAAAGGTGACAGTTTATACATCATTTATAATAATAATTATAGCATAAAATCGGCTATTTTTCCCTCTTTTGCCCATGTTATAACGGGGCCAAAACCATGCGTTAACATAGTCACGCGCTCTTGTTATAGCCCGGTTTTACCTATGCGCAATACATACAGGGCCCAGTAAACAAACAAAAAATGACGATTTGGCCTGTTTGCCAGAGTCTTGTTATATTGGAATTATTAATTCGAGGGCCTCAGTCGCATAACGGCGAGCAGCATTCAAGTAATTATGCCGGCAATACGGCTTATAGACATCGCCGCTTATCTTGGTTGTCGCCCTTTCTTAGAAACGGACAGTTGTCAAAGTAAACAAATAGAATCTGTCATTCAGTTTAATCCCTCGATTAACTTACAAAAATGGAAAGCACAAAATGAATATAAGAAAACGTTGTTTTATTGACGTTTATATTGATAAATGTCATGTATGTTTCTTTGAGAGAATAATGTTTTATGCCTGATTTTTTTTAAACTTGCGTGCTTAAAAAAAACGATTCTGAATTTGAATCTGATGTCACTGATCTTTTTCCTACCGCCAATATGTAATCACTCTAGGAATTTCTGTGGCGTCTGTTTTGTCTTGGGGAGAGTAATGTTATGTTTTTCTTAACTTAATATATCCCCAAAGTTAAACTTTGTTAAATCAATTAAAATTCGAAATTTCGTTCGGTTCTCAAGTTGTTGGCCCCGGAAAAAATAAAACGCATACGTAAAACATGAAGAATTGGATAAATACCGTTCAAGTACAAGGATTTTATGTTTGTGTTTTGTATATAATATACATCATGAATCTGTTTTAAAAATTTTATGCTATAATAACGTCAACGCACGTTTATTTCGCGTTATAAAGTCTGCAGAGTCCCTCTGAACTGTTGGAGCCCTCGCCCTACCGGGCTCGGGCACCAACCGTTCCTCGGGACTCTGCCGACGTTATAACACGGAAAAACGTGCGTTAACCCTATATAATATAGCTGGTTTTAAACATTCAAATCAAGCTCTTTTTTCATCATTTTAAGCTATGATGAATATCGTTTTATAAGTATCGGTTAATCAGCATGCAATACGAGTTACTATTCCCCATATAAAGTATTTGTTAATATAAAATACTGAATACTTATAAACATAAAAAAGATACTGTGGAAAATTATGTACGTACTAATGTATTATATTCATTATACAAGAAAATCCTCCTCTTGTACGCACAAATGTTCTGGAGGGAATAAAAATATATGTCTGTCATTGACGAATTAATTTTCAGATTTGTTAAGGAGCTAAAACAGAAATACAATATCTTGTATTGGTCATACAAATAATTAGCTACTGGCAAATCGACCTTTTTCTAAATTGATGCACGTGTAAATCAAAATTGGAAACGTTTATTTCAAATGTCCTATGGTTTGGTAATTACGATCATGTTTTTGAATGATGTCTAAAAATTATGACGCTTTTGTGTTCATACAAATATGACCATTAAGTTTCGTATGACAGAAATAGTTTATCGGTGGCGTGTGTCAATACACTTGACCACTGAGTCATTATTAATTTTTAAACATTAACATACCTGTAAAGTTTGTTTCAATATTATTTCAAAACGCGTTAAATCTTTACCACGTTGTATTAATAAGATGATAACGTGATAACACATCTCTACAAAGTAAATTAAAATGCATTTCAATTCATATTAGTTAATATTCGAATAAAATCATTAACTAGTAAAAGGGATATAACTGTACACAACTATATCCGTAACATTTATCACGTTACTTCCTTCCCTTTAATAACAAGTATAAGTTTAAAATTTGTTTCGACGCCTGATTGCACACTCGGCCTTCGTAAAATAATTGCGGTCAACAGCTGGTCAATTTCGCAATGTAATTTTACTAAATGTCAATTTACAAAAGTCGCCTTTCAGTTTTTCTGTTTATATATGATGCAAAAACATAATTTATATGTTATCTATTAGTATTAGTAATAAGCTATTTGTCGAAATTTTTTAAGTATTAAAAAATAACAAAACAACATTTGGAGTATAAAATACATAATTATTAACAATATTAGTTATTATTCGGAATGTTGTACAATCATTGGCTGATATAATTGCCCTGGACATAAAAACGTATATCCGTTTAAAGAATATATTTCAAAGATTCATAAATAAATTATACGCTTTTAAGAGTGTTTCATAAAAAGCATTCTTTCAACCATGGGTACAAGAAAGCGTAACTATGGGATGCATGACCAGGCCATAAAAAGATCAATCATGTCGTTAAAAAGACAGTCGAATAATTTCTGGTATCGGTTCATAATTCGTTCATATTTTTAAAAGATGATATTAACCGACGCTTTAAATCACGTATAATTGAGATAACAGATGTCAACTTAATAACGGACCGTTGTAGCTATGCAGGTTAATTAAGGACAGAAATCGTTCAATGACCGCGCGAAGTAAAGAAACCGTTTTTTTGGTGTTCATTCGGTTTAACTTGACGTTATACTAATTTGATAAACTGTAGCATGCTGTTTAAATGAATAATTGATTACATTGTTGAACATCAAAATTGCTTATGTTTTCTTGTAACGAAGTATCGACGTACCTTAATGTGTATGTAGCAGTAAAATGTATCCATATACTGTGCGTTTAGGATAATTATTTAGTAACGCCGTGGTCAAGTCCACTTTAACGGTGTAAAACAGTTATCATATTGTGTTTAATATCTTAAGTCAAGCAGGCTTGCCATATAATTAAAATATGGACAAATTTACCAACTGTCGGCGTAACGCAGTAGGTAAAGTTGTGTGGTAAATTATTAGTTGCATATCAATGTAAAACAGCCAGGTTCGGTCCCAATTTTTTTGTATAATTAAAAATCGATTAAGAATTTCTTTTTTTCTTGTAAAGATTATTAGTGCTGTGTTATTTTCTATTAACTTCTCATTTCACATTTGTTTTTAAATGTTGCTATATCTAGCAAGTTGGTGCAACCTGATACGGAATGCATACATGCACATAAATTGTTTCAACTATAGTTAAGTTGACACGAAAAACTTATGCACTGCAAAAGTACTACTAATATATATTACACACTACACAGAAAAAAAATATTATTTTCGGTATATATAAATTATTCGAAATTATAACAAAACTGCCTTTATATTCCAATTAATTTACATCTCATGTAAAGATAAAAATAGGGAAAGAAAAAGGAAAAAAAAAAGGTTTGACAACTTGTGTTGCTTGAACTCATGATACAATTTAATTTGTATGGCATCCTAGTGACTAAACCAACTTTGCCATCGAGACTTTTCACATTCTTTTTCTGATTTTGAATCATATTCACTTCCAAATTCCCCTATTTTACCTATTCATACAAAGATTGTAAACTTTTGTGTACACAAAAAAATGCAACGTCAATCTCACATTATCATAGCGGCACAGTATATGTTATTTTGGTTTTGGAGTGATATATGTGGATATATTACCTGCTAAGATTTTATATCACCCGAGCCGTTAGGCGAGGGTGATATTTTATCTTGGCAGGTAATATATCCACATATATCACTCCAAAACCAAAATAATAATTTTATTACCCTTCCCCTGCCGAGTTTAGACGATTTTTTAAAAAAAATCATTGCTGTTTCAAATGAAACGTCGAAATAAGATTCCCTTTAGGGTACCTCTTCATCGCAACATGACGTCACATAAATACATGACGTATTTTTCCCGTACCTAACGAATGTAAACAAGAGAAAAGGAGTAGTCTATTGAAAGCACTTTTTTGTAATTAATATCAAGCTTTCACAAGGTCATATTTGTTTTCAGTACTGATGGGAACTTGTATCATTACTCTACTTTGGTAAATATTTTTCATTTGACAGTTAAAAAGTGCTTGTAAATCGGAATTTACACTGCGTAAAATCGAACCGTACGCGCATCACCTCAGCGCATGTTGTTTACAACGTTGGGTACCCAACGGGGAAATTTAATGTGTATATTACCCGTCTGGCTCGGTTATATCAATATCTTTCGGATGATCAATATCCAATCAAAAAGGCGGAAAAAATCTGGAAGGGTAATAATAATTAATATGCAATAAAGGGTATGTTTTTTAACGCATCGTCGATAAAAAAAATGATAATTTCGGTTTCTCTGTTCGATTTTTAATGCAATTGAATTAAATAGTTATCTTTGCATCAGTCGTTAAATGAAATGGATTTATAATATTCAAATATAATACTTGTCGTCGAGGAGCTAAAAATTCTAGCTCGGGTATAATTCCGGGAGATTATAAATAAAATGATGGTGTCGTTCTAATCATTAAACAATGTGTTATGGGGCTGATGAAATAGCTTATTGTGAACTAAAATAGATCAGTGGACAATTGTGAAATGCAAGGAAAACAAAAATCATTCGTGTAGAACATATTTTCCTTACAGTTGTGGTAACACAGTTCGGTATCATACAGAACGATTTTGGACGTTTTATCGAACGCTTATGATCGATTGTAAGTAACATTACTTGTACGCATTTTTCCCCGTCTTCCGGCCACAAAACTATAAATGTATCTTTCATGCTTGTGTAAAAAGCTATTATATATGATTTGCTATTTTTTACCTTGAACTTACTCGGAATAATCTATGGACTTCTACTACATGTCTATGTAGGGCAACGCTTTTTTGCCCTACGCAGATTGCGCATGCGCGAAAAATACTACTTCCGGTCCATTTTTTTTAGCTACGGACCGCTTCGTAAGAAGGTCTATACCCGAATTATTTTGATATGTAATCGAGCAGCAAGAAATGTATTCACACATTATGTTAAATGTTTTGGATTATATAATTATTTCAATGATATTTTATATCAAGCTACTTGTACTTTACCTTATCAACATTGCATATCTCTTTTCTACTTTTGCCATTAACAGAACAAAACATCAACTTCATTCTAGACATTCACATTCAGCTAATTATGATGTAAAAGATGTATATACATGTATCAAACAATCATTTAGGGGCGTTGACTTCAAACTACTTGCCTCTCACCGCTGCAGGTTCGAGCCGCGCCAGCGTATTTGGATTCCACATGTGAGAAGCTATCCAGCTGGTAAACGAGCGTTGGTGGTTCTATTCAGGTGTCCTTTTGTGTCTAAAATAATGTACAGTAAGAAAGGCACATGAGGTCTTCCTCAAGCGGGAAAGTTGCGATATGACATAAATTGTGTTGGTACGATGGTAAATCCAACAAAAAAAAAAGAAAACAAGAAAGAAATGAACAATTTAAGATATCAATACAAAATATAAAAATACGTTACTATTAAAGATAAATTTTCCTTTATTCTTTTGTGATGAAAATGAGTAATCTCAGAGTATGAATAAGTTTGTCATATGCCAGAACATTATTGATTTATTATTTTCAGCAAAGCCGGATCCACCCAAGATACAAAATTGTCCCGTGAACGTCGTGCAGTTGAACACATCATACATGAGTGATTATGCCATCGTCGATTACTTTAATACTGGTGGTATATCAGCGCATGATGATAGTGGCAATTACTTTGAGGTTCTTCAGAAATTCGTTTAAGCCCGTCTCACACAGAACACGGTTGGGTACACGATTCCCAAACGGCATACTTGTTATCACGGGTTAACTGGTACAAGTATTGAGCTCCAGCCATGCCTGATGATTAGTTGGTACGAGTTAGACTCGAATGTTGCAAGAGCATGTACGGATAAAGCACTGATATATTCGGTAAAGCAACGTTTGAACAAAAATTTGCATACAAATACATACGACTGTTGTACGGTTTAAAGTACGATCTAGTAGGGTCTTGTTCGATTTAACACGACGTTTACTCGATTGACTTTCATAGGGACCAGTTATGCTCAAAGTATCAAACCTTCGTGTATGTTTTGATACAAATTGATCCATTTCGATGACTTTTAAAATAAATTTTCGAATTTTCAATGAAGAATTATCTATATATACATCAGTTATATCAACAAATTAATAAAAGATGAAGCAATGTAAAACGTATTTTTCCTTGGGTGCGGCGGTTGCTGGAGCGTCCACCAAGCTAGCATCCGAGTCTGAATTCACAGGAGACAGAGGTAGTGCCTGTGGCTCCTACAGCTCATCAGGGTGGGCAGGTTGGAGTAGTCGGCGGGCCTTGATGGCCCTTCTTGTATTCCTCTGTGCGTCGGAATCTACATCTTTGGATGCATTCTAGTGTGATGCAGCAAGAACTCCGGGTAGATCTAGCAGTTGAGGGAGCAGGTAGTTGTGGTTTTCGTTGAACAGTTCGTGCGTACGTAGAGGCTGTGCTAGACCGTACGAGGCGTTGTGAGTCCGTGTATACCCGTACTAAACCGTTTCTGTCATGTATGATTCGTACTTTAACCGTATTGGTCGTATGGCGATCGAATGAAATCGTGTGTGCACTCGTTTGAATCATACCAAGATATTGTGACATTCCGGTGTTGGATGTAGGACTTGGGGACGGTCTCGAACAATTCCATACGATTTATATACGACCTTGACACGGTTGGGCTCACATATGATTGTATTTACGGTCTCATACGGTCTCACACGGTCTCTGACGGTCTTGTACGGTCGCATATACGATCATACACGGACGTGACATACGTACCATTTCTTTTTTTACGGCTTACACGGAAACACTCGAACTACCCGAGTGTGACTCGGTTAATACCACGGTTGGTTCGGTTGTATGTACGGTTTACACTGATGGCCGACCGTATAAACCATGTGTTCTGTGTGAGATGGGATTTTCATAATGCAATTGTCATTTTATCTTTGGTCCCAGCATCGCCATCCCCTAATGTAAGATAAACGTCTTTTCACGTTCTACACTTACCGGTTGATGTGGTGTTTTCTTTTTTGGGGCGGAAAAATTGCGATTTATAAAAACATTTTCCAATTAAAGGCCGGGATATTTCTCTGATTATGATTGAAAAATATTTGGGTAAAAAGAACAATTATCATACAAAATGACCTTGGGAAAATAAAAGGTTTCCCTATCATTTTCAATTTAAAACCCTTAACTTAAATATAAAATTTAAATTTAAGGGAAAAAAATTTTGCCCGGGGGAAAATTTTCCATTGTAATTGTTCTTCCTATACCACGGTAACGAGCACTATTATAGCCGAGGTCGTTGATAGTTATGGCAACAAGGACACCTGTCAATTCAAGGTCGTTGTCAAAGGTAACGAAATAATGATCTTTACGGGTCGATATTTCACTGTAAGGGTAACTAGTAAAAAATAAAAAGAAGTGAAAAACAAACTTTATGAAACGTTTGTCGTAATAATGTGATGGGCAAGAATGGAAAAAAGATATTTTTTTTATTTGATACTGAATAATTACTTTAAAGTAATCTATGCTTTAAAATCGGCATAATTTTGTATTATATAATGTAGATATTAAAGTTTCGTGAAACAAATGTTTTACATAAGTGTGCAGCTTATCATCTGATTAATCTATTTATTCAATTTGCTTTTTATTCGTCGGCGTATATCATACTAGCCATAGCTCATGCAATTTTCTATGATAATTATGGCTGAAGTAATTTTCAATGGAAGGAAAATAAAAGCGGGCCTCGGACATATATTTGTACGAGCGTATATATAATAATAAATATTGCTTTAAACATCAAATAAACACGTCTCTCAGATGTCAAAGTAAGAATAGGGCTGTACTCAATTGAAAAGTGCCTTACGTCAAGTTAAATTATTAAAATAGACAAAAATGGTATCGGGCCCACCGCACTGCGTTGCAATCGAATCCACCGACGTCTACGACGAAAAAATTTTTGTCATTTATTTTACAAACAGGCAATAATAATTATTGTTAATTTGTGAAAGTATCATTTATTCAATGTGATGCCGTTGTATTATGGGGTCGTGTTACACACATTTGAATGTGTTTTAAGCAAAATTAGGCAAAAATGCGTCCCCTCATCAAACTGTACAAAAGTGTTTGCATAAACGGCAATGAATTGCACCACTGGCGTGTATAGGTTGAAAGTGTACATATGTGGGCTCCAGTCTCACTGAGTGTTTCAAGTAAAACATTGAAACATTAAAAAAATCAGTCATATGCTTACCATATGCAAACGGCCGTATTTTATCCACCGCTTCTGCGACGAATACTCCACCGCCGCTGCAATGGACCCACCGCTTCTGCGAAAGCTATGGCCAGTGTGTATTAAAATGAGGTCGGTACACTTCCATTTAGGATTTAAAAACTGTATTGATATATAACTGTACAGTCATTTTTACTTGTAGATTCATATAGGAAAACACTCAATTGATATATAACAGTTCAGATTTTTTTTACACCCGCTATATATCGGTTGATTTTTTACTGAGGTTTAAAGGGGGCAAGGGGGACATGGGCATATACATTCCAAATACTAAAAAAGAAAAAAAAGGAAAAAAAGAGCCGATTGAACCGGGTGATGCTCCCCGAACAGGTTTTGGACACATAGAAAGTACTTTTTCTTGATATTTCCTATAGTTTAAGAGTTATATCCCGAACAAAGTTCACATGTAAAAATGAGTCAAGGTCAATAACTTCAAAATAAGGCAAGGTAGAGTTACGGTTATTTTACATTACATATGTACCCAATGAAATATTTCTACTTACAATGTTTCTTGTTTATATCTCTTATAGTTTAAGAGTTATGTCCCGGACAAAGATCACAGCGTAAAATGGAACAAAAGGCATTAACTCCAAAATAAGAAAAGACAGAGCTACAGTTCTTTTGCACTGCACTTCTACTCAATGAGATCTATCTACTTACAAAGATTCTTGTCGATACCTCTTATGGTTTTAGAGGAAATTGTTATATTTTTTGGTAACAGCGAAAAATCACTTAAACAAACGGATACTCTCACTGTCTTAAATTTATATATAGCTAGCTGTGAGGGCCGTTAGACAGCATAAGCTGGTATTGATTCATTTTATCTGAGGTTTCCATCTGAAACAAAAGTGAAAAGGCACAAGAGAGGGAAATCCATTGTTTTTTCTCTGACTTCTGTTACAAAAAAAAAATTGCGATTAAACAGTTAAATAGTTAAGTATGTGAAAACATATTTAAGATATTTTGTGAAACTACAATGCTTAGAGTTTAGATAATTGACATGTAACATTGCCTTGTTGGCCTCTACAAAGTTGTCATTGGTTATGCCCTTTGGGTTAAAATTGGCCCCGCCACTAACTTCACTTTGTAGATATGCAGTCTTGAATTAGAAAACACATTCCAGTCGATTTTTTTGTGAAACGACTGTGGTAAGAGTTTAATTATTTAAAGCCCAGAGCTCAGATAATATACTCAATTTGTAGGTTAGCTCGAATCACAACAGGGACTATGAATTCGTTCATGTGATGAAGCTATCTATTTAGCTAAGGGAAATTAGTGGGTTTTTTATGTGCCCACTTGTGTCTAGAAATATTAACATATGACCATCTGAGGGTTTCCCTCACTAGAAAAGCTGAAAAGGCGCCATATGGCAATGCAATCTAAATAAATACAACTAAAACAAAACAACAACAAAAAATACGCGCATTTACTTTGTTGTGCATTTTTTTCAGATATCTACAAACCTGCTTTCACCTCTTGCCCAAGCCATATTTATGTCTCTATAAACGAGAAGGTTACTTGGCAAGAGCCTACTTATTATGATAACGTGGGAGTATTGGACATGTCCCGTCTTGGTTATGAAAGCGGTCAGGTACCACCTGCGGGCAATCATACTGTTTATTATAAAGTGTGGGACTACCAGTATAACACCGCTGTATGCAAGTTTAATATTACTGTCACTAAAGGTAAGAATTTACCCATTATCAGCGGTAGCAGATTTTTTATTTTCATATTCAAAGTCGTTGTCAACATCACTGTTATCGTCATCATCATCACTGTTGTCTTCTACATCATCACTGTCGTCATCATAATCATCATCATCATCATCATCATCACTGTTGTTGACATCATCATCATCACTGTTGTCGTCATCATCATCATCATCATCATCATCATCATCATCATCATCATCATCATCACTGTCGTCGTCATCAACACCATCAATGTTCTCGTCATCATCATGATCATCACTGTGGTTGTCATCATCATCATCATCATCGTCATCATCATCACTGTCGTCGTCATAACTATCATTATTGACATGATCGTCATCACTGTTGTTGTTATCATCATCACTGGCCATTTCATAATCATTACTGACTGTTGTCGTCATAATTATCATTGTTGTCGTCAGCATCATCACTGTTGTTGTCATCATCATCATTATCATCATCTTCACTGTTGTTGTTTTCGTCATCACAGTCGTCGTTATCATCGTCAATGTCGTTGTCATAGTCATCACTTTTGTCGTCATAATCATTACTGTCGTTGTCATCATCATCACTGTCCTCGTCGTAATCATCACTGTCATTATTATTATTATCATCATCATCATCATCATCATCACTGTCGTCGTCGTCGTAATCATCATCAATGTCGTTGTCATCAACATCAATGTCGTTGTCATAATCACCACTGTTCTTGTCACATCCATCCCTGCTGTCGTCATCAACATTACTGTCGTCAACCTCATCCTCAATGTCGTTGTCATAATCACCACTGTCGTCGTCAAATCATCACGGTTGTTGTCGTCTTCATCATCACTGTTGCAATCATCTTCATTGACATTATCGCTAAAATTATAATTTTTATCGCAATCATCATCATTGACATTATTAATGACATTTTCATGATTATCACAATCATCATCATGGACATCATCGCTGACATTACAATTATCGCAATCATTATCATTGACATCATCGCTGACATTATTATAATTATTGCAATCATCATCTTGGATATCATTGCTGAATTTATCATTATTATCGCAATCATCATCATTGACATCATGGCTGACATTAACATTATTATCGCAATCATCGTCATTGACATCATTGTTGACATTATTACAATCTTCATCATTGTCCTCGTTTATATCGTCAGTATAATTGCAATTATCATTATCGTCAACGTTGATATCGTCAGTATTATCGCAATCATTATCATTATCGACCCTGTTGATATCGTCATTTTCATTTCAGATGTCATTATTATCATCAGTATCATTATAATTTCATTTATTTGAATTTAGTTCCATTTCTTAATGTGTCTTATTATATTGTCTGTGCGGCTAAATTTTATGTAGAAGCTGTACGATTAATAAATTTATCGTAATTTGGTTCTATATCAATTAGAGGCAACGACTCAAATTTAATTTATTTTTGTGATCTATTTTGTTTTGATAGAAACGCTAAAGCCTCCGAAGATATTGAACTGTCCCATTCAAGTTTTATCCTTGAATACAGCTCTGAATAATGATGAAGCAAAACTGAGTGAAGACGCTACTGCTATCCAAGCTTACGATAACGAAGGAAAGAAACTTAAGGTGAGCTCAATTTCTTGTTACAAACGGGTGAAAATTTTCAAATAGCCTTCCATACAAAATAATTGTAAGTTTTTTACTTAAAATAAACTACAACTGATACAATGGCAAAAGATAAAATATATAGATTTAATGTGTTGTTGTAGTTATTTGAAAACTAGCTTCTATTCTGCCAGTAAAGAGTCAGGCTAGCCGGCACATCCAAGCAGTTTGGTCGAACTTGACACTATTTTCAGCTTATCCTGACTATTTGATATTGAAACCACTAAATCTTGATAAAATATGAACTATACCATATCGAAATCATTTTAAAAAATTAGCTGTAAATCGTTTAAAATTGATCAGGGTACACAATAATTAAACATTGGATATTTATGAGTTCCCTGTAAAATAATAATGATAAAGTACAGTGTTGTACACATAACCAGGCCAATTTATTGTAAAGTAGCCATTAAAAACAAACAAAACAAAAACATGTGTTTAATTATACTAACTCAGATTTTATTTCTGGCTGAAATTATTCGTTATTGAAATAATACAACAAAATTATGATGTGATATGATACGTTTATTAGATGAGATATGGTATGATATTATGATATAGGAAAATGATATTAAGATATGATTTAAGATCGGATATTTTATTATATTAGGATATGATAAAATATTAGATGTGATATGATATGATATAAGAATATGATTTAATAATATGTTATGATACAAGATAAGATATAATATGATATTGGGATATGATGTTCTGCTATGATATATGATTTAATATATTATTATATGAGAACAAACCGTTATAATTTTTTTAAAAACAGGTAAACTACGAACCTGCATCGGTACGTCATTGTCACTGTTTTCATCCCCATACAATGGAAACAACTGTTATTGCATGGGCCGTTGATGATGTGGGAGTCAAGGAAACATGCGAATTCAATGTAACCGTTTCCGGTACGAATTTTACTGCCATTTTCATACTGAAGCGTAATGTCAAATTTGTGAAGTTTCACATGATTATGTTTTATGTATTTTTAGGTCTTAAAGCATTTCAAGTACCTTTACGAGAAATTTTCTGATTTCGAAATCATGAACCATGGTCTGTCTGTACTGTCTGATAAATATTGATACTCATTCATAGCAGTAAATATAAGTTTAGTTTATATAAATCCATTTTAGTTCGATTGTGTTGGAAGCTATAAGCTTATAGAAACATTCTCAAATCCGTTCCTGGAACGAACCAGTACTAAGCAATCAATGTAAAGTTTCTTGCTCAAGGAAACAACGGCTTGCCCCTGACAGGGTTTGAACCCACGCGGTTAGCAATCCTTAGATTACTAGTCCGACGCGTTAACCACTCGGCCACGCCGCCACTCTTGGCGAGTAAATATTGACTACCGTTATATATTCAGCTGTTTTCGAAAATATGTAGGTATTCTAAATAAGCATAATTATAATTAAAAAAGGACAAAAATGTTTGAATTTTAACATTTTGCGGTTTCTTGTTGAATTTTACTATTGAAAATAATATTTGCAAATGAGATTTATCCTGGTATAGATTGTTTGGTCATCGGGACTTTACCTTTGGATATGTCATAGTCTAAGTAGATTTTACCATCGATTTGTACATGGCATTCTTAGTTTTACTTTTGGAAACTTAATTTGATATGACAGAGTCTAAGTGGGTTTTATCATGGGACATTTTATCAGATTGTACCATTTGGACCATTGGCCATGCTTGTGTCCAATTGAATGCTACAATTGAATATCATATTGTCCTTTCGGATGCTACCATAGGATATGGCATTGTTTTATTGGTTTTTACTGTAGGACTTATGTTCTGTTGAATTTTACCATGGTATATGATAGATCCTAATAGTATGTACTGTGGGACTTATTATTGTCCTTTTGGGTTTTCCCCTATAAAGATGTTAATAATATGACATTGTCCTTTTGGATTTGAACATGGAAAATGATAATTTTCATTTGAAGTTTACCATAGGTAATCACAATTTTCTATCGAATTTTTAACATGAATGGCGAAGTAGAATCATAGGATTCATTTTACATTCAGATAAACAGGTGCCGGTTATCATGCATTGTCCTGGAGACATGGAATTGAATGAAAGTGATTCAATGTATTGGCGGCAACCAGCATTTGAAGATAACGTCGCTATTGCAGCGGTTGACTCGAACTACAATAATAGTGCCATATTCTCCATTGGAAAACATATCGTTTACTATAATATTTGGGATTATGATTTTAACAATGCAAGCTGCAGATTTACTCTGACCGTCACCAGACGTAAGTAGTTTTCCATCAGTTAATAGTTGCATGATACTTACTAACATTTCTTATAGCTCTAGGTTTTCAAGGATAAGAAGTTAATAAGAACTAACACTTTCAAATTGGCATCATTATCTTTATAGTCAAGCTAAAGAAACGCATATTCATGCAGTCTGACAAGGTTTTAGTTTTTGTTGTTTGTTTGTGATTTTAAGCTCATAACTAGCATTTCTAAGTTTTCTTTTCCGAAATAAGACAAGTTTTATTGAACCCTCAATCTTGCATTCATACTTTATTTAAGTTTTGCATATATATTTTATTTCAGTTTTTCCTACATATTTGTTTATTAGTTTTGAATTAATATTTTTATAGTTTTGCATACATAGTTTATTTTAGTTTTTCGTACATTCGTACATATTTTTCAGCCAATCAAAACACCCGTTACATCTCATAAAACCCCGTAATTAAAAATTGGAGTTTGGATAGTTACGCCATTTGTAAACATGACACCATTTGCAAAGTAGAGTTTGGATAGTTACGCAAATTGTCAAACACGTTTTCAAACACTTCCTTATTTGTAAATACAATACCTCATTTGTAAACGCAATTTGCAAATACACACTTTTATGCTTTGATGTATCAAATTTTTTTGTTATTATATATATTTAGTCCGCGGTAACCCCAAGGAATGTTTTGCATATGGTCTTGATGTGGTAAACATTTGACCGAAGGTGCATGAAAATCCTTCCTGGGTTTAGGAGATGAAGATCGATCCGAAATCCAAGTCTCAAAAACTTTGACCTGTAGGTGTGACCCCGACCTTCAGCCGGCACACCTGGCATATAAGTTTATCTGGACTTGGTTAACAATTGATCCACGTTTAAGGACCTATTTAGATCTTTTATTGTGCATTATTGTAATACAACAGTCATTTCTATTTTTGAACCACCTCCCTCGTCCCGGGGGAGTGCGGGTTTAAAAGGACTCGTGTTTTGACGTTTGCGCTGTTGCGGGGCATAAGACAGGAATATCATTATCTGCGTATCATCAGCAGGGCGAAGATTTTACCAACGGTCGGCGTTATTCTCATGGGGTCGGTTTAAGTGATACATAATAGATGTAACGGATGTTTTAATGGGCTAAAAATATGTATGAAAAACAAAAATAAAATATGTACGAAAACAAGCTGTTGCTGCATCTGCTGCTACAATAAAGACGACCTAATATATAAGTTTGTCTCCCAAAAACTTTGAACGGAACTTTACAGGCGTTATCTTTACAATTCATAGTTGTCTATATCGCTAGCAAGTTCAGCTTAACCACACAAAATGCCCCCCCCCCCTCCAAACAGCTATAAATAGAAAAATCTAGTACAGCTTTCACGGATCAAACAGCTGGTGGGACTTCGACATTACTACGTACCTATCTGGGCATAACACGGGCACGTTCCGCTCCGCTGCACAAAATTGCTGTCATAGCAATAATAAATATAACTATCGCTTTCACAGGTGAAACTTCTGCTTTGATAAAATGAAGCTTCACCTGAGTGATCAGTACAATAACTGTACGCGTATTTGAATTCGCGGAAGCAAAATTTCGAGGACAGGTTCAATTTAGAGGTTTATACAAATATTCGTGCTATTTTGAATTTTTGAAGATGACTGCCGACAATCCTACATTCGCATAGACCGTTCAGATTTAAAAGATAAGGGTTATTACTTTTACAACATGTTAGAATGGTGTAAAATACGGTCGAATGCAGACCATGTTACGAATTAAAATACAATGCACTGATTTTTTCGCAAACAGCCTTCATTCGTTTAAAATAATTTATACTGAAATCATCGTGGAAGTCCTCATTTATTTTCAATACCTTGTGTCAAACAAAACGCCATTGAATAGACCTTTACAAAATTTTACTCCTGTATTTTTGCCTAAACTACACCTGTTGTTCTGTTAAAAATGACAGTTCTATTTTTCTTCAGTTTTTATAAACTTTCAGCATATTACACCTGTTTTTTTTTCTCAAAAATACACATGTTTTACATCTGTACTGTGAACGAAATATGTAAATTAACCGTATTTTTTCTACGGGTCTAAAATACAGTTGTATTGTTTTACAGCTCTTAAAAATACAGATGTAAAATTGTACAGGTCTAAAAATACACGTGTATAATTTTTCAGATCAAAAATACAGGTGCAAAATTTTACAGGGCAATAATACAGGTGTTCTTCTTGCTTAAGGGATGAAAAAACAGCCTAATGCAGATTTGGCGCAAATGACTGTTTCATTGTTGGTCAGAAATTTTGAGCATTTGTTGCTGTGTCTTTAAAAATAAGAAATGTTTAAGGGGAAAATGTCTTTTTAAAGCAAATACTGACAGGATTCGGGGGTACAAATAACAGACATTATACAATCACAATAGTTCACAATGTGACTTAGGTGAGTTGAAATATCACAGAAGTAACAAGGATCACTATCACTGAAGATGGGGATAACTAGAACCAATTTTCACTTTGTCTTAAATGGATTACTATTTCTTTTCATTTTGTTACAATCTTACACTTTTGATGATGCATTAATAAAATCGAAGTCATTGAAATTAGTAAATGAATAAAACTGCTGGCATCCTTTCATTAGAAGAAAAATTCCCAAATGCTAAAACTGTTTTTTTTTCAGTAAAAATTTATCATGACAAATTTGTGTATCTTTCACTGAGGTGCAGCCAGTTTTTACAATTATTATTGCCAAATTAAATATCTGCGTCTCTAGGTACTGAACGAAGCCTTTGCTTCTCAACTTGTCCCTGCGATTTTGATTTAGATCCCATTTGAAGCTCTTTCACACGAATCAAATAAGACATCAATAGTTTAACATTAAATGAATACTAAATGATAATCGTAATTTAAATGCTTTAATTTTGTACTAGTGTTATAAATGCACATATCGATTGCTGATAATTAATGAATACATGTATTAATTTTTCTACTTAATGCATTGTTTAAAAACAAATTGGGGCGTCCGTCGCCGAGTAGTTAAGGTCATTGACTTCAAACCACTTGCCCCTCAACCCTGTGGGTTCGAATCTAGACAGGGTCTTTGGATTCTTTCATGTGAGGAAGGTATCCAGCTATCTTACGAAACATCGGTGGTTCTACTCGCGTGCTCGTTCGTGCCTGAAATATTACACAGATGGGCACCTGAGGTCTTCATCTACCAGTAAAGCTGGAACATCACGATATTACTTATACTGTGTCGATCTGACGTAAAACCCAAACAAACAAACAAACAAAAACAAATTATTTGCTGAGCTGTTTTCTATTAGCTGTATAGGTAACTTAACTGACTATTATTATTATGGTGCAACGTACAAAGAGACTTTTTTAACCATGACTTTCTTTCAAAATTATTCTTATAATTTCAACTGTAATTTTGTTTTACCATGTCTGTTTTAGTCATTTGCTTTGTTTTCTGAGGAAACATCTCTCCTGGGGTGTGTACTGTGACCTTCAAGAACATATTTCATAGTTCATTATAAAAGCTATGGAAATAAATTATGGCCTAATAATTAGAAGTGCAATACAATCGTATTTAATATCAAGGGTAAATAGAATGTAAAATAGTATTGTTTAGAATAAAGTTGATAAAGATATTGACCATTATCAGATGGTATGTTGTGTAAAATCGCTGAAGGGTAGAGGGACTTTATATTTAATTAATTTATTTATGAGAAAGTATCAGGGATACAGGTTATTTATATTATAAACCTTTATGCCACAATATGATTAAGAGCCTCGACTCAATGTATGAGTTTATTACATACACAAACATTACAGAGTGAAGCATACCAAATTTCCAAACAAACTTGGGAGTATTGAATAAGTACCAGCTATTTGTTGTTTTTTGTTTTGGTTTTGTTGTCTTTTTTCATACAAAAAGTGTATTCTAAAACAAAACAGCAAGTAAATGCCTATGTGAACTGTTTCATATAATTTTGAATTAAATGATCATATACAATTTACATGTATATTCAAATTTAGATAGCAAGCATTCTTAGTTCAATGTTTCTTCTTAATATATGTTAAAAAATAAATCCATAGTGTAAATTGCATCAAAGATACTTAAATATTTAAATAAAAACAATTCTCTAGGCTTTTTTTAATAAAGTGTATTCTACATCTGAATGAATAATAAAACAGTAGTAGTTTTGGACTAAGATTTTTTCAGCACAAAGTATTTTCTCAATATTTTCTAAGTATTACAATTACATGTGTATATCTAAAGCACAGGTCCTGTTTAAAAAAAAAACACTTGTAAAATTGTTAAAATACAGTCAGTCAATATATCAAGAGTTTCAAGAGTTTATTCAGCATAAACATACAATATGTTCATTGCCATACATATGATATAATGTGCATGTAATATGACAAGAAAACAAACAAACAAACAACAAAAATAAAATACATTTGGTAACAATGAGAATAACCAAAACAAACACACACACAAACCTCAAAAAATATTTATGTATTTAAACAGTCAGATTTATTGATTATACGTATGTCGTTTACATGTAGCTAGGTATAAATACTTTGCCAGTTTATTTATAATACTTTTTTGGCTAGATGTCATAATATTTCTAAATTTCTGGATACTAGGCCAAGAACAGTAATAATTAGGAAGGCAACGATATCTTATTTCTCTATAAAAGGGACACACTAATAGAAAATGATACTCATTTTCAACAACATTCATGTTACAACGTAAACAGATTCGTTCAGATCTTGGAATATTCCTGTGTCTACCTTCCTCTATCAGTAATTTGTGAGCAGAACATCTAAATCGACATAAAGTAGTACGATAATTTAAATTACTAACACACAACAAATATTTTGCCGCAATATCTTCATTTTTAAATATGCAATAAGTTTCTAATTTAGGTAAACTGTTGATTTCACTTTGCCATTGTTGTAAGTATTGATCTTTTATTCGTGCCATTAAAATATTTAGTTGATCATTT